TGTTGGGGTTTATTTTTAACACTTTGGAATTTTGGAATGAAGGATTCTAGACTGGTTGTTTGTTTGAGGATCAGAGATACAGGGCTTATTAATACAAAATCATTCCATATAATTCCATTAGAATAGAATAGAATAGAATAGAATAGAATAGAATAGAATAGAATACTTCGTACTGGTACTACTTGTTGATTGAGATTGCCAAGAGATGGATTAAAATGGAATTCTAAACTAAAGTATGAGAGGAGCAAGTTCATTCAATCCTGTCAATCATTACGCAACAGCTGTTTGCATCACTACTGTGTGTGACAGTTCTTCTGGCATCCACCACCCCATCTCATGCATTATTTCTGGCCATTCATAATTCCAGTGGGGCTTTTAGTGCTTAAATTGAGTCTTGAATCAATCATACTCAAGGAATTATATAAACATGCAAAGCCATGAAACTACAGTTGATTGGCACTGAAAGTGAATTTACATTATTCTGAATAAATCACTAAAGCATGCTTCTTATGGGGAACATACTGGGTGGAACAGACAATGAGCTGCAACTGCCAACTATCAAGTACTAATGCAGCATGGCATTTCTCAGTGTTCCTTTAGGATCCTCCAGAATCTTTTAATGCTCATTCTGAAGCCCAGAGGATTGTCATCAGCTCCAAATAAAGAATCAGAATGACGTTTGTTAGTAATGCAGGGACACCTGTCGCGGAACAGCACAATTAGCACAGTTCCCGTATGCTAAAACACCTCAGAAATTAAATCTGAGCCAAACAAAAAAGTCCCCCTGAGTTTCCAGCGCTGCTTTCTGCTGACAGAGATGTTCAGCTGCCATGAACTGACATGATCATAGCAAGTGCAGGTTCAGTGGGGGTAAACAAGCCTTTAAATAAGGTGATTTGTCACAGCAATTTCTTCCCTTTCCCATCTAATAAATCTGAAATAGAAATGTTACATAATAGTTAGTGGTAGTGTAAGGATAAATATAACAGTAGAAAAAGACAGGAATTAAATATTGGAATGGTATGAAATACATGCCTGGAAAAAAGGAGAAAGGGATAAAAGAAAAAAGGGAAAGGAGGAGAAGAAGAAGCAGCAGCAAAAAGGAGAAAACGAAGGAATAAAGGGGAAAAAGAAAAAGGGGAAGAGGAACAAAAGAAAGGAAGAGGGAGGTAGGTTAAAATAAAAGCTCAATTTGAATAAAATATATTGTAGCTCATATATTACAATGCCCAGATACTTTTTTTTCCATATGCGTGTTTGGTTCTTTTTTTGTATAAGAATTTTGTCATTGTGTGTTTTTAAAAAGAAAGAAAGAAAGAAATACCTGACAAGCTCTTAAATATAAAGACAAAATTAATTTAAATAGTTAAATCTTTAACTCCATTTAATTTTCTCTTTTTTAATGATTTGTTTTCATATAAAAAATACAAAGTAATACAAATAAATATATAACAAACATCAAATATAATGCAGCTCAGACAGGAGGATCAACCTCTGTCCCTGTGAAATAAGTTAAATCGGGGTGTACATATTGTCACGTCAGTCCAGTCTCTGTACACAGTGACCGACTGAGACCCTTCATCCTCCAGAAAAGTGTCAGCTGTCCTGTGATGACTCTAGAAAGAAGGTCTCATCCAATCATTTCCATAGCAGCAGGTGATGTCACATTAGAAGGTTTAGGATGTAATAACACTCAATGTCACGGATGCCATTTCAGCTCAAATATGATTTCAGCAGCGTATATGAGTGTGTTTTATGATTTGAGAGCATCAATGGTGACGGCAATGATGCGTGGCATGCTGCGATAGAACGCTTCATTCTCCAAACCCACCAAGCTGTAAAAGGTCAAAGGTCGCCCACCAACAGTGGCCTTGATCCGTGATTGGTACAAACCACGTTCATTCTTAGAATTCAGGTCAACCAGCACCTGAGATGATGAACACACTCAATGAGATATATACAGAATTAAAATACAACACAAAAATAACACCACACAAACATAACATACATTACAAATATGTGGGGTAAGTAGTTTTTTTTTTAAGAAATTGATAAATTTTTTTCAACAAAGATGCATTAAATTGATCAAAAGTGAAGGTACTGTGAAAGGCATTTATAATGTTTTGATATTTTTTTTTATTCTCTTGAACTTCAGATTCATCAAAGAACCCTGAAATATCTAAATATTAAGCAGCACAGCTGTTTTCAACATTGATAATAAGAATAAATGTTACTTGAGCAGCAAATCAGCATTAGAATGATTTTTTGAAGGATATATGACACTGAAGACTGGATTAATGGCTGGTGAAAATTCAGCTTTGCCATTACAAGAATAAATTACATTAAAATGCACTAAAATAGAAAAGTTATTTTAAACTGCCATATTATATTTCAGAATATTACTTTTTAAACTGTATTTTTAATCAAATAAATGTGAGCATAAGAGACTACTTTCAAAATTACAAAAACGTACAGACCGAAAACCTCTGTAAATATGTACTTGCATGATCTGTCTGTCTGTCTGTCAAAACATGTACATAAGTATCATGTTTTTTACTTGCAAATGAACTTCTACAACACACACAGACTCACCTCCTGGAAGATCATGTTTATGTTGTTAGATGGAACAGCCAGGATCCAGTTGTACATCACTTTGGTGTTGCTGACCAGCTGAGCTGATTCAGTTACTCCAGAGCAAACTACAAAACACAAAGAACAAAGCCTTGAAACACACCGCCTTTAAAAACAGTAAATACAACTCATATTCCTTAAAATAAATGTAATACTAACCTCATATTCCTTTTCAAATCATATGACTGGATAGAAACGCTAAATCAAACGAGAAATTGTACCTTTGTCATTGGCTCCTCGTATCTGTCGCTTGTGTAGATCTCTCTTTCTCCTCCACAGGAGCTCTGAAACAAATATTAGTCTATTAGTCTGGACATTCATGGTTTCACATCATTCTGCAATACTACTACTACTACCACCTCTAATAGTTGTTGTTGTTGTTGTTATTTTATAAATTAAACACAAGTATTTAATAATAATAGTAATAGTAATAATTATGAATAATAATAATAATAATAGTAATAATAAAATATCATATAAAATAACATTGAAGCTAAAATTGAAGTTTGTATTTTTGTTCATTCATTTTCATTCATTCATTCCTTTAAAATATATATTATTTGAGTTCTACAGTGGTCTAAACAGTCATTGTTGTAGGCTAAGAAAATTATAGTTATTGCAAAAAAGTTTCCTGTTATTGTTTCTCAATATTCTGCTACTCAGTTTCCCAGTATTAACACTTACTTTTGAAGAGTGGCTGTTGAAGCAGGGGCATCTGGGTAGGGACAGAGTCAGAAGGTTCCAGGGTCTTGAGTTTCAGTGGTTGGGTGGAAGGTTCCACGGATCTGGATGTTGTATCCATATGATCCTGAGATCCTGCTGTCATCACCGGACGTCCTGTGACAGTTCCTGTGCCGCTTCCTCTCAGAGCTTTATATATCACAGCAGTCCAAATGTCAGCTGACAATACAGACTCCCTAGATTTGGCACTGTTATCCTGTTGTTGTTTTCCAGTGGTGGGAATGCTGAAATCCCTTTGAAACAGTTGGTGGTCCAATTCTGGTATAACAGGAATGCGCAGTGAGTCTAACTTGGAACGCAGGGCAGCAATGGAGGAGAGCAGTGATCCGTCAAGCTGCTGAAGAGGTGCTTTTTCACTGTCCTCATCCTGAAAATTTCATCAAATCACCATCAGTCTTAATTTATTAAGTAATGTCTGTCTTCTTAAACAGAAATGTAGTGAACATGCTGCTCCATCATATGTAAAACCTTAGTTTAAATTAGACAAGTTTACCGGTGTGAAGAGTTGTTGCTCCTGAGACAGTTCCTGTGAGTTCTTTAGTTCTTTGTGTTGATCCAGATCTTCAGCAATGCGTGTAAGATAGCTCTCCCAGTCGTCCACCAGAGGGCCCACTTGCTGGAATAGTGCTGGCTGGCCTACCTGCTCTTTGAGAATAATATGTTGTTTAGAAGAATAACAATATGGAGAATGATACAGCTGCTGAAAAATATTACATTCTGGAAAGCATTGTACATCCTCTCCTGAGCCCTTATTGGCTGTACAAGTATAGTGCAGAAAGGTTTAATGGCTCTACCTGTTTCAAGTGCACTTCTGCGTCTTCGTGTTATATGAGCAGAGCTGTACACATTCTCCACCAACTGAGGTAGAGTCTGAGTGAAGAAGGTCAGATCAACTTTATCTCTGATACAGTCATCGGCCCTCTGAAGCAAGTCCAGCAGAGTCTGCAGAAAGGAATGCAACTCTGTAGAGAGAAAGATAGCAGACAGTAAGAAAGGCAATACATGGAGGGAAGGTAAATATATTTTAAAATATATTAAAATTTCACTATATTACTGTTTTTACTGTATTTTTGATCAAAGTACACTGCGAGTCAAGTTTGGACATACAGTGCGTAACTAAATTTATGATCTTAAAATTTAATTTAAGCCTTTTATTTAGGATAAAAAAAATGCTTGAAATAGGTTGTGTAGAATAAATTGTGCCTATATACACATTTCTTTAAAAACTAGTTTAAATTCATTACATGATTTGAATTTCATAAAACTGAGCGAGCCTACAAGTGCCCAACATACATGTGAACTCCTTCAATGCAGTATAAAAAGCATCCCAGAATGCACTTTGTTAAGGTGCAGAGCTTGTCAAGATGACTAAATAATTCACATATTTCCATTGGTGTTATTTCATAGTTTGATGACTTTACTATTATTCTAAAATCTGGAAAATAGTAATAATAAAAAATGAGTATGCACATCCAAACTAGCACTTAACATTAGGTTAATTCTGTTTAAATATGTAATTCGAATTTTTGATTTCAACTGTCTGGATAACTTACGGCACTTCTTAAACCGGCTTTGGCATTTGTCCTGTGACCCAATCAGAGAACGCGGTGACCCGAGTGTAAACGCCAGGCTTTCCCCTCTCCCCACAGCCATCCCCCCAAGAGGTGACGCCAAACAGCTGAAACCGTCCCGATAAACGGTCCTGGAAGATCAACGGCCCTCCAGAATCACCCTGTACACATGCAAAGAGACAGATTCAAGTCAGGTGATTGTAAAGCAGCTGTAGTGTTTATAAAGCATATGTGATGTTTCTTCGTCAGGTGTGGGGTTCATAATGCAAGCTAGTATGACAATGTGGAGATACCTGGCATGAGTCAATGCCTCCAGACAGGTACCCAGCGCAGAACATGGTGTTTGTGAGCAGCTCCTTCCCCAGTGCACTGAGACAGGTGGTCTGAGACATCAGTGGCACTTTCGCCTCCATCACCACATCTGCCGAGGGTCCGTCTACACACATACAGAGAATCAAGACAAACATGAATAAGCAAACACTTCACAGCATTTTAAGCAAATATTGTGTGATATTATTGGGCTCTTTTTCTAAAATATGTGTTATGCAGATTCTCTTACCCTCATACAGAGAGCCCCAGCCGGCCACCAAACAGGGAGTACCAGCCGGTGGATCGAGGTCAGAGGGCAAGCAGACAGGTGTGACCCGTTCAGACAGATGTGTGTGTGTGTGTGTGTGTATGTATGTATATATATACAGTATATGGTAAATTAACAAGTGGAATATTGGAATGGTTGCGTTTTTGATGTGTTTACCTTCGGATGAGTGATGATGCGATTGACTTTCATGATCTGCTCATCAGGGTCAGTTTTTGTGCGGTCAAACTCTCCCACTACTGCGGTCCAGTAACTCTCACTGCGGCTCCTAATTGGGGGAGATCAATTTGAGACGTTCACAAAACATTTGGGTACATTCACAAATAAAGCAACAAGACACAGCACAATATATAATCCTTTTCAGAAAATGGTGAGAACAGCAATATGATAAAAGACAGTGCTGTGGTTCATTATTTTTTAATGTTATGGCACATTTAATCACTGTCACAAGTGTGTGTTGTTCTGGTATTTTACAACAGCTTCAAATGTTGCTCATTCAAAAATCCATCTGAGCAAAATAATCTCATGTTCTCAGTACCAATACAAATAGCAAGATTTTCAAGTGAAAAGGCAACAAGGTATCCCATTTCACATTAAATGTAATTATGTAGATATGTATTTGTGCTTTTACCCAGCAAAGCAGTGGGCGGCAGTGAGGACCCAAGAGCTGTCAACCAGCACGCCCCCACACATCAGAGCCCCATCCAGCCGAAGGTTCACCAGCCATGGCCAGCTGCCCAGAGGGGCAGGAGATCCCCCCATGATACGAGAGTGAGGCTGTGTCAGGTTTTGCGATACAGAGAACCGCTGGCCACACACAGCTACATAAGGGAAGTTACATCAATAAATAGAACTCTTGCAGTAAAGTGATCCATTTCAAAGCTGAAATTACATTAAAAGGGACATTGACAATCATAGTCAAGGTTTATTTTCGATTACATTTTTTTATTTTAATTATGAAGATTATGTAAGATTATGTTTATATGAAAGTTCTGAGTATGTTTACATAACATTTTTTGTGTTATTTTGTTTTACCTTGTGCTGTGGTCTGTGTGGCCGGCTCCAGGTTCTGCATGGTGTTGAGCAGACTGCACTGCAGGACACGAGCGCTGCAGCTCTCTCCCATGACTCTGACGCACAGGTCTTTGTTCACCTGTGCAGGTGTGCAACGGCGTTTGTAGAAGCCACAGGCCTGACTCAGCAACCAACTCCTCTCTCCTTCATCAGCTTCCTCCTGAGCGCCAGAGATGACCTGACAACTCGGCTCTGACTGTGTGTCCTCTGGAGAAGCTATGGAATTACCACCATCAGCATCCGTCTTTAAAGTCAAAGAGTCCTAGTTATAAAGCATTTGTTCATTCAAGCTTACCACAAGCGCCTTTTCGCTGTCCACAGTCCTGAAACAGACAGGGCACACACCCTCTGCAGCCTGCTTCAGCCTTGTTGCGCTCCGATACGGCAGCATCTACGGCAGACAGAGCGCGGGACAGAGCGGCCTCCATCACTACTGTTCCTCTATCAGACAGAGCTGCAGAGAGAAGCAGAAAGAGATGTAAGCAAAAGTGAATAGATGCCTCAAAACAACCAACACAAAGCAAATCTAAAGAAAACATTAAAAGTAGGTATAAAGAAGAAATATGAGACGTTTAACCTCAGTGGAGCAGAAAATTGTGCTGACTTGGTGTTTATGTGAATTAGAGAAGACATAGGTTTGTCATACAAATTTAATATTTTTGTTTCAACAATAAAAATGGTCAGAAATGCAAACAAATACAAAAACTACAAGACAGAGACCCAGCTAACAAAAATATGTTCTAAGAATGTTTGCTAAAGTTACCATTAAGCTTCTGAATGTTCTCTGAACGTTCAAAATGTCCAGTTTTTAAAAATGTTTTAAAAAGTTTCTCTTGGTAATGCAAACGTTAAGAAAACATTAAGGGAATATTCAATTTTATCATTTTGCAAACATTAAGGTAATGTTACTTTTGAATGTTCTCTGAACAATTCATGAATTCCATGAAATATGTATAAAGTTTTTGTCGTTAAATAATATTTAGAGAACATTATTAAAGACCAGATAACTTTTTTAATTAGCATTACTGGAGAGAACCTTGCAGAAACGTTAGCCAAAGCTCTGAGAATGTTCCCTGTTAGGTGGGGAGAAAACCAACATTTGCACAGAAAACAAACAGTCTGAATAGATTTCTTCAGCGAAACAAAATCCATGACTGGCTGTGATAATACTACATTTATATATAAAAAAATATATGAATGCAGTATTTTATCAGTCATGGTTTTTCCATGAGGACAAGTGAGCAAACTCATGCTCAGAGCAGTGCTAAAGACACCAAAGTTCAAACACACCGATCCACATTCAGCCGTGTGCTCTTCTCTATCTCCCAGAGAGCGAGAGAGACTTCAAAGCTGATTGAGATCTTAATTAACGGCCTGAACTATGGCCTCTGTGGTGAGTGACTACGCTAAACTCCTGAACACAGTCTCACTGTGATGGCACACAGAGTCGAGCACTGATTCTTACCAACAAAAATAATGTTTTATTGAAAAACATATGGAGTCTATATTGAAAATACTTCATATTTATACAGATCTGAGATCTTATATCTCAAAGAAAAGAGATCACTTTAAAACTATATCAAAAGATTATGCAAATCATATTTACATTTATTTAGCAGATGCTTTTATTTAAAAAAAAAACAGAGCTAAAGAATGCTACAAAACATGCAAATTATTCTAAACAGACAGAAATATTATTAATGTTAGAATATAAAGTTTCAAGTTGACCAGAAAGTACAGTCTAGTACAGTGAAGAAGCATGACTCTGCTTTAGATGGAAGAATCTGTATGATGTATAAATGTAAATGTTTTTCGAATATAACATACGCTTATTTAATAACAGTCAAAAAGTTTATTCTTAGAGAAACAGTTTGTGGAAAATAATAATACTGTCAGATTATTAAGAGTTAAAGCAAGCTGTTGGAGCTCTGACATCAATGTTCACCATCATTGGAAAGGCTGTTCATATTTTGGTTGCAAGTACGATTTTTTTTTTTTTTTGTGAAATTCTACTTTTGCAACAAGTTTATTGAAAAGAAAACAGCTAAGCTTAACAATTAGGTTAATTTTAGACATCACAGTGAGTTTGCATCTTCTGCATCTACACTCATCTGCATCTAGCTGTCAATAGGGCAGTCACTAAGGTACAAAAGCTAAAAGGTACACTTTGTACCCTGTTTACCCCTAAATGGTACATATTAGTAGCTTTTGAAAGGGTACCACCCCAGTGACAGTTTTGTACCTTTAATGTAGAAGCAGCCAAAACGTCCGAATACCTGGCCTACCTTTAAGTGCGCTCTGTGGCATTCTGTACACCTCTCTCAACGGTGGCGCCCCACCACACCAGCCAATCACCATCAACAGCAACAGTGACATCACACCCATGATTCCACTTCACCTGTCCACAGGTGAGTCTTCCAATAGAAAAACGAATTTTCTAACAGCTTCAAGAAGTTCCACTTTTCAAAAACACAGGCACACGGACACAACGCAGCTTCTTTTGCATCAAGGCACCTGTGCCGCACAAGTGTCTCCCACCTCCTGGCTGGCTTAGCTTTCTCCCACACTCCCTCTCAGAGGATGTGTTAGTGACAGAAGCTGATGGAACAATGGAAAAGCATGCAACAGCCCTGCAGATATATGCAAGAGCACTGGACCTCTCTCTGAAGGGGTGGGCATCAGGGCCAATGCACTCCCAGTTGAATTCATTAAGACGATGAGAGCAAATCACGAGGAACTTGCCAAGGCTGGAAACGTTCTGTGGTGAGAGAAAAAGAGGGAAAGAGAAAGAGAGCTGGATGGGTAGGGGGCGGGTTGTTTGAATTCATTAACGTTGGAGGGAGAGAAAGAGAGAGGGTGCGTCTGTCATTCAGCCAATCTCTGAATGAGAGCATTGTGCTCCTCCCTGAGAGTTCAAAGCGAGCGAATGTGGCGATCACAGGCACGCCGACCTCCTTGATCACTTTCACGCTTTTATGTGCTCCATTAAAATATTGTCAGTTCAGATCATTGCATCTTTCTCAGCTCAGCATAGCCTCATTGCATAAAAACATACAACATTAAAAAACAACAGCTCATCATTTGTTTACTCGTTACTGGCCGAGGGTTCGTAGAAAAGTTTGTGTTATGCGTCCTAATTTGTTGGACAGTCACAGAAGTTGCTTTCCCAATCTTTTTCCAAAAACTTTTTCAGTGACATTTAAAAAAGCAAATTGAAGTTCAATGTTAAAATCAAATTGGTCCTTTCGCAATAGTTGAGAGACAAAATCAAATCAATCAAATGCTGAGCTCTGCATTCATAACACTATGACTAAATCATGACTAAATCATGTAAATGTAAGTCTAAGAGCTCTTGTTGTTTTCATGGGAAATGATTGACAACTTTATATTTGGATGAAAGCGATTACTTGACATCCATTTGATTGGGCTGCATAATAAATGCAAAACAATAAATAAAAAATAAGCATATTATTTGTTAATCAGTACAATAAACTGTTCCCTTATAATAATTAATAGATGGATAGTTTACATTTTTTAAATTAGAAATGTAAACAATCATCAGACAATAGTTTTTGCCAGTAGTTCGCAACCTTTTTGACTCCTAGGCCCCCCAACAATATTCACACGTCCCATGACTTTTCCAGTTTTACATGATTTACTGGGTAAGGATTTAAAAAAATAATAATTTTACTCACAATTTCTACTTGACAAAATATTTTAATAGCTAGACAAATGTATATCCATTATAAAAAATATTATAAAGATTTTATTAATTTACATGACTTCTCCAGGTCTAGAAATCACACTTTTTTTTATTACTATCTCACTTATCCAGGTTTTTCAAGTGGAAATCCTGGCTCTTCATAGAGAGACAGGGTACCACCCCAGTGACAGTTTTGTACCTTTAATGTAGAAGCAGCCTGGCTCTGCACATTTTAGAGTGGCCTTTTATTGTGGTCAGCCTAAGGCACACCTGCGCAATAATCATGCTGTCTAATCAGCATCTTGATATGCCACACCTGTGAGGTGGATGGATTACCTCGGCAAAGGAGAAGTGCTCACTAACACAGATTTAGACAGATTTGTGAACAATATTTGAGAGAAATAGGCCTTTTGTGTACATAGAAAAAGTCTTAGATCTTTGAGTTCAGCTCATGAAAAATGGGGGCAAAAACAAAAGTGTTGCGTTTATAATTTTGTTCAGTGTAAGTGTGTCAAGTGCGAGATGAGCAAAGTGAGGCTTAGCGGCCTGATTCATGAAATAATGACACATGACAATTGAATGACTGTTCTTCCCTCAAATAAGGCGGGACGTGGAAATCAGGGCAAAGTGAAACATAAAGGAGCGAATGCACAGCCAGAGATGCTCTTCAATTCATCAGAGCTAATGAACGATAATTTTAAGCTGTCACATGGTATCAGGTTCGTAGCGTCTCTTTGAAGTGGACTCATGACAGGCTTTGTGACAAAGTGTGCAGAGAGTCCAACTAAAGTCCAAGACAGGAACAATGTGTAATGTACGTGTGCTGAGTCTGCAGTCAGGATGAGAGACCCAAATTGGAGTTATCTTTGAGCCAACTGAGCAACCGAATACAGTGAGGGCACGCGGAGCAGCAGGCTACTTTCAAAGTGCTTCACACAAGGCCTACAGTATGTATGTGTGTAGCGACTGAGAGAGAAAGACCTCCTTTGAAATACAGCGGCACATGAGACAGAAAGTTTGGGTGCTTGTCAGAAGACAGAAACAAGCCAACATCTAAAAGTCATCACATTCTGAGCAATATTTAAGGGTTATCCTGGTGAATAATGTTTTAAAATATTGATAAAAAAATAGAAAAAAGTAAACAGATCAAAAGACAGACTTCAAGAGCAAGAGTCTCCCTATCTTGCATTCTCCTCCTTTTTTGGCATGCAGAATAAAAACAGGAGCCGACAGTTTGTTCCAGGCATTCTATGTGGCCCCTGCACAATGGTTTTGCCATCCTACTGCCAACTGAAGCACTGAGGGATGGCATGGGAAAAAAAAACAAAAAAACAACAAACAGGCGGCTGGTCTCCATTCATCTTTTGCCCCATTCCCTCCCTTTGCCCTGCTGCTCTCTTTGATGTTTCCTGATTAATCTGCCCTCCGCTCCCTTCAGTGTATCTTGTCCACTTTGTGGTGCTCCGCCACTCTCCTCCACGAACAAGATGCTGATCACAGCACTAAAGGCAAAAGCTGGATTCAAGGAAAAGTTCAGGAATGAGCATGTGAGCATACTTTCAGATCGGATTCTACAGTGTTTGGTTAGAAAAAGACAGTGTGACCAGAAAGACTAACGATTACAAACAACTTCATTTTATGTTCTGGGTTCATTCTGCATTAATTAATTAATTAATTTAAAAAGACAAACAAAAATCATGTCTAAAGTAATGCACTTACAGTAAAGTGGAAGCCTATGAGGCAATGGATTAGGTGAATTTTTGTGTGAAATGTGAATTTTTGTTAAAGCAATAATATAAAAAAAAAGAAAGTGCATTTGAGTTGTCTAAGTTGTCTAAACACATCCTTTTAGTAGTAAGACAACTGTTATAATAATGTGAAAATCAGGGTAAAATTTGCTTGAAACTGTCCCTAAACAGGATTCTTACATCCCATTCTGGTTTCACAGCCTATTTAAGGGCAGAATTTACCAGATTTACATGTCAAAATATTGGATTAAAACCGCACAGACAAAATTTTATCACAAAAGTGTAGTGTTAAAAAGTATAACATTTAAATTTCACATCTATATTTGCGAAAAAGAGTATATTTTTTAATAGTCTCATTCAAATATCAGACATTAGAAGTATCACGAGTTATGTAATCAGATTACTTTTTCAAGTAACTAGTAAAGTTTTAATTTACAAGAAAATATCTGAGTTACTTTTTCAAATAAGTAAAGCCAGTTACTGTGTTTTCCCATTTATTGTCTGACAGCTCTCCTGTCCCCATGTTGAGAGAAATCAGGAGTAAGTGCAGAGGCGTTGTGTGCGCTGTGTAAACATGATGCTTACTGTAGTTCTAGACTAAATGTGAACGTGCATTTACTCATCTCACTTGCACAAAAACCTGCAATAATTCAATGTTAAATAACACAAATATCCTTTATGTATAAAATCCCATTGCATTTCCTTCAGCCTGAGGCTTATTCATTTCACTTTTAGTGTGAAAGCACTTTACATTTGCCAAAATATAACTTTTTTTTATATTAAAAACAAACAAACAAGCCCGGCCTATAAGAAAAAGTAACGCAAAAGTAACATATTAACACATTACATAAAAGGTAACACAATTAGTTACTTTTTTAGGGAGTAACGCAATACTGTAATGCATAATTTTTAAAAGTAACTTTCCCCAACACTGTTAACGACATAACATCTCGTTTTTATAAGAAAAGATGTCGCTTTAACGAGAAAACATCTCGTTTTAACGAGAAAATATGTCGTTAAAACGACATGACATATCTCGTTATTACGACATAATTGAGTGGAAAAAATGTGTGTGGCAGCAATGCGTCACTGTACGTCTGAGTAGTAATGTTTTGTTTTTGGTATCCATCCCATTTTTCTCTCCTAGCCTCAAGAACGGCCAGTTGTGGTCATTCTGGCTCCCCTTTCACCATCTCTCTTGCTCTCAAGCCTCAGTTCTCTGTCCCATCAGAACCTAGGTAGTCCCGTTCTGTACTGTGCTTCCCCTGATCCATGTGAAGGTCCATGTCCATCATGTTTTGTGGATGACGGTGGAAGGTGGCTGAGATCTGGTCAAAAGTTTTGCCTCGCGTTTCAGGAACTCGGAAGAAGGTGAAGACCAGAAAGAAAAGGAGGAGCAAAGCGAAGATGAGAAAAACGTATGGACCACACAGGTTCTGCAGTAAGGAGAGATTGAATGTAATGGCGTTATAGCACGTTTTGATGCCATAAGTAGGTAAGTAAACCATTGCTAGCGAAAGAAGTTGTTTCCTGTACACTTACAGCAACATACTGGAAGCCCATGCCAATGAGGAAGTTGGCAGTCCAGTTGGAGCAGCCTGCTACTGCCATGGCTGCTGGTCTGGGACCTTGTGAGAAGAGTTCAGCCACAAAGAACCAAGGGATAGGTCCTGGCCCCACTTCAAAGAAGCCAACAAAACCAAAAATGGCCATCATGCTAAGGTAGCTCATTGATGGCACAGTCTTACTGTAGTTCTAGACTAAATGTGAACGTGCATTTACTCATCTCACTTGCACAAAAACAGATTCAGTATTCCTCAAAATGAATGAAAACTGTGAAATGCAAACTCAGAATATGACGCAATCCTGCAATAATTAAATATGTTAAATAACACAAATATCCTTTATGCATTTAATCCCATTTTAGTAACCATACTAATAAGTAAAAATAACTTTAGGTAAACATCACATTTGTGTTTCATTGCTGAACTAAGAGTGTTGAACTTTCTTCTCCTGTGTCCTATTCTTCATGCAATCTAGAAGGGCAGCACAGCTAAAAGGTTTGTTTGAGCGTGAATTTACATTTTCTTTAGCCCGAGGCTTATTCATTTCACCTTTGGCATGAAACGGCTTATACATTCGCCAAAAATAGAACTTTTTATATCAAAAACAAACAAGCAAGCTCAGCTCAGATGAGAAAATGTAACGCAAAAGTAATGTAAGTAACGTAATTATTTACTTTTTAGGGAGTAAGGCAATATTGTAATGCATTACTTTTAAAAGTAACTTTCCTCAACACTGGTGGTAACTAACAGCATGTATTTAACCTTGAACATTTCTTTGAAAGAAATAATGGTACTGGTACCCCAAAGTCATCTGTGAGACAACAGCTCAGGCTAATCACAGAAGACAACATTGTCTTTATGCAGTTAAGCTCTACAGTAGTTGGGGGTGTGAGTTTAATCTATCACAGACTGCTACTCACTGTCTCATTCTGCTGTAAGGACGAGCTTCACGTGTGTCTTTGGTTGAGCCCTGGATCAGTGAAACTACTCATGTCATCACAGCCATGGGGTCTGATGCACAATTGGAGCCAATGAGAGGGCAACTTGAGTGTGTGCGAGAAATTGTCGGCTTTTTCAAAATTACAGGGGCCAACAGAGGGAGGTTACATAAAGACATGGCACACTAAAACAAAAACTACACCTAAACAAACCCTTCACAACAAAAAAAAAAAAACCTGCGCAACCATAATGTTGAATAACACGCAGGTATTGTGCACTAGTTATGAAACCATTTGTCTCTATTGTCTGGTGCTGAGAACAATTGAAAAGTGGGTCAGTGGGCTGAAAAAAACATCAACATGTCCTAACATTTCAGTTTGAGCAATTTTTTTCCCAGAGAGTATTTTCTGCGTGACATGCATGACCCCCATTGGCTCATTTACCAAACTCTTTCAAAACACAACCTTAGTGATGAAGACATTTGTTTGTATTAGATGATTGATTAAAAGAGTCATACTTTATCTTATATTTTTATTAATTATTTTTTTCCCTA